AATGCACCATGTAATCAGGCAACTCCCTGGAAGCGAGGGCTTCCAGACAAGTAGAAACAAGAGATATTGTGGAAGGGCTCACTGAATTTTACATCATCTTAGATACAAGCACAGCTCTGTATTCTAAACTGTTAGTCCACCACTAGGATAAGCCAGTTACCTGGACAGGACAATCCACTGCATCAGACTTTCAAAGAGAGGTGGTGTAAGAATGACAAAAAATGCATACATGTTCTTTGATTTTAGGTGGGAAAGATACTACTTAACTATTCAGGACAACTACTTTAATGCTGACAGGAGTGTTGCTTTAGTCTTTACTGGGCCCAAAGTTCACATGAAAACTTAAATGAAAGCTGACATTCTACAAAAAGCTCCAAGCAGCTGCAAGGACACACAGAAGGCTCTGAATCCTGCCCTAGACGCTGGACTGAACTGTATTAGCATCGCTTCTACTGTAAACATGTGAACACATTCATGCATTATCATGCATTATCATGCATTATCATTCCTACTGGACTGCTATAGAATAACCGGGGGGCTCAGAGGTGACTTGCTTGACCTACTTGGATAGTTTTGGTGATTTTCACAGCTGGATTCGCTGTTCCCATAGTTGGGCTGATAGCAGCTGGTGTGCTCCTTTTTAAACTGATCTTCTCTCTGGCATCCACCACTTTGGTCACCTTTTCAGTAGAAACATTTTGCTGTTTTCGGGAATTCAACATCTCTCGAGCATCCTGCACCTTCCCTTTGATTTTAAACCGAGCATCCTTTTGAACCAGTTTTTCACGGGCATCTTTAACCCCCAGTTTGTGTCGGGCATCCGTGAGGCCTATCTTCTGTCGGGCATCAAATGTCCGCTGAAAACTGACAGCTGGGGATGATCTGTTTAGAAGATTCTGTTGGATCCCTATGCGAGATCTTACACCTCCGTACACTGGCCTTGTGTTAAGCCTGGAGGGGAAGAGAGTTTCAGACATTGTAAGATGTGATACGGTATCAATAAAAGTATTTGTGTTGCTGCAAACAAAAGCTCATTATTGCTGCACAGAAATCCACTCAGGTTAGATGTCCAAATACAACAGCAGAGCTCCTAAGATGTTTTATGCTGGATTTTACATTCTACAGAAACAGCTAAGGAGCTGATTTTCAAAATCCATCCTTAAGCTCACATTTACAAACTTAAGTAAAGGGTCTGACTTCAAGCTGTGCTAACTACATACTATATTTACACAAAATTCATCAACAGCTTAGGGACTTTAGGGAAACTTTTGAAGACAAAGGAGAACAGAAACACATTTTCTAGCTTTAAGACTGAGCAGGCCTGCTAAAGCATCTTCTGTAATACAACAGCACATTCTGATATGAAGGAAACATGGAACTACATGTGATTTCAAGAATTCTGGGCAGCAAATTCAGATTTGTGGGAATGCAGAAGCTTGGATTTTAAGATGTATAAGCACCAGTACCAATCTCAGTTCAAGATCACCAGTTTCAAAAGTGATTAACTACCAGCAAAAATACTTATCAGTCAAATCACTTTTATACATCACTGCCTTTTCTTTAATCTACTAACAGAACTACTGCACTCAAAGGCGCTCACAATACTGAAGACAGAAAGATAACAGCCCACAGAAAGGGCAGCAGTTTTACTTGTACACAAGTATTACTAAGAAGCAGCCGATTACGCAGTGAAAGCTGAAACTAGCTTCTTGTTACAGGTTTGATTCGCTTTTTCAAAATCTCCCCTTAAAAGGAAACAGCTTGCCTAATGTTTTAACACAATTCCTCCTTTAAGTATATTTTAATGTTTTCGTTTTTCCATTGGGTTTCTTTATAAGAAAAGAGGGAAAAAAAGATCACAAAGTAGTAAGAGAAATTTTGAAGTTAAGGTACTGAAAGTATATTCTTGCTGTTGGCTTTCTAAAATTCAGAATAAGCCACACAGGGCTACAGCGTTCCTCTGCTTTCTTAAATGTATTATCCAGCATTATGAAGTCTAAAAGTAGATATCTAGAATTTGTTGAAACACTCAAAAGTCTAACACCAAAAATTCAAATGATGATGCAATTTAAATCCTTTTTATACAGCTTTGTATCGGTATTTCCAGATCCAGCCCCACAATCATAATGTTATGTACAGATACGTACTATCAGTGGAGTGATCGTAAAAAACCAACCAAACAAATGAGATGAAAGACTGAACCTCCCCTTCCATCTCTTTCATTCTTGTGTCCAGACAACTGGAGAGCTGCAGCTGAGAATCCTATGGCTTTATTCTCCTACCTTCCAAGCACACTAGCTAGAAGAAACAGGAGTATTACTAAGAGTATTTATTAAAATATATCCAGAATAATACAGAAGACTAATGATGTTCATAAAGGAACAGCCACACAGAACAAGACTTCCCTTGCAATTTTAGCTATGCTGAAAGCATTTAGTTAGGGTGCTGCAGAAGGGCTGTATGAGTGGGTCTTTTTAATAAGCCTAAAAGAGGTCAAAGTAAAACCAGAAATATATGTATCAGCAGTTAACCCAGAATTAATTAAAACTGTTACAGACACAAACTAATGAACTTGGTTAGGAAACTCTAATACTGCCATTGATGACTAGCATTCATCCTCATAAACAACCCTCTTCTGTTGAGAATTGCTCACCCTATAACAGTATTAACTGTTTAGGCATTTTGTGCCACAGCACCCGAAATGAAAGGAAATCTCAAGCACCTGATTAATTTTCCAGAACTCCACACTCTGGCTTGAATATTTTGCGAGTTAGTACATTTTACAGGCAAAGATTTTTCTGCTATTTCATCTATACTACTGAGCACCAGATATGGTGATTTTAGTTTATTCAGTTTGTCCAACCTTCACAAAGTCAAATTAGCTACCTCAGAAATGCTATAAAGTGATGTTGTGGTTTAAACCCAGCCGGTAACTCAGCACCACACAGCTGCTTTCCAAGTCTCCCCTTCCTTCCCTCCCCTCCAGGTGGCATGGGGAGGAGAACTGAATGAGTTCAGTTGAGCTAAGCGATCCAATAACTAAAATATAACATAAAACTATTATTACTAAGGGAAATAACAAGAGGAAAGAATATAAAACTAAAAAGGGAAAGGGAGAAAAAAACCAATAAGCACAAGTGATGCACAATACAACTGCTCACCAGCTGCTGACCAATACCCAGTCTGACCCGAGTAGTGATCTGGGCTTTCTGGGTGACTCCCCCCAGTTTATATACTGGGCATGACGTGGTGTGGTATGGAATACCCCTTTGGCTAATTTGGGTCAGGTTCCTGTCTCTGCTCCCTCCTGGTTTCCCATGCCCCTCCTCACTGGCAGAGCATGAGAGACTGAAAAGTCCTTGATCAGGGTGCTACTGAGCAACAACTAAAACACTCGTGTGTTATCACATTGTTCTCAGACTGAAGCCAGAACAGCACTGCACCAGCTACTAGGAAGGAGAAAAATAACTGTTACAGATGAACCCAGGACAAGGGAACTGAACATGACAAACAAGGGACAAAAATTCTTACAGTGCTGCAGAGGGACTATTGTTCATCAAATAAAAGTAGGAAGAATTCCTGAAAGAAATGAAAGTTAAGGAGGGATTTGAAAAAGGATCTAGTAGGTGCCTGGCATATTAAGCAACATAAGACTGTTCCAAATATGCAGAATAACATGAATGAAAGTGCAAAGCCAAGGTCTTGTCTACACTAGGATTTAAACGTGTTTGAACATTTTGCTAGCATATGTTAGCAGATAACTTTCAAAATACTAGACATGTTAAGTGGAGTCATTCAGAGTTGAAATCTAAGATTTCTCAATGACCCCTAAATAAAATAATTTTTAACACCACCTCCAACAACAAACTAAGAAAAAAAGGAGCATGCTTAGCTAACACAGATGGGGAGAAATCCATAGACAAGGTCTTCAGAAGCATCAAGAAACCATGGACAAGATTTTCAGAAGCGTCAAGAGACTACAGCAAAATGGAAGCTACCAGAGGAGAA